TGATATTATTAATCACCACACCGCCTTTCTCTTTGTCTCTAGAGTTTTTCCTTCATTTCATCGATTCTTGCAATCCATGTTTTTTATTCCGTTTTCTCTCGAGTTTCTCATTTCATTTTTTAGTAGTAATGCGACATGGAATCGAAATTGTTGAAATCTGAATCGCAAGCTCGCTTGCAAGTGTTTACTCAGCAAACAACGCTTTAACGAGTCCCGAATATCGTAGCACTCGCAGAATATTATCCATGTATGTTACTATTTTTTTTGACTTTACAATTATTAACAGTAACGACTTTCTCGAAGACATTTGGAACATGGAATTTCAAGATATTTGCAAGTATCTGACAGACTTGCCCAACATGTTTCGCAATAGCGATAAATACGGCACAAACGATCGGCGTGAATTTAATTTTTAAATTGAAATTCACGCGTTTACGCGACTTATTTACTAAACGCAAGAGTCTTGCGTTAATGAAAGTCACTTCGGAGCGTCTTATTAGCTTCAATTCTAATAAATGCTATCGGCAAAAGTATGTATGTAATATCCGACTGTGCCACGCTTGTATATTATTTTTGTATATTATTTTTCTTTCAGTACCTAAAACTTTGTAAATCTGTACGTGACTATGTCAAAGATGCCAGAGACTGGGTATACTTGCGATCGATAAATTAAAATTATTAGGCAAAACATTATAAATTATTTGTTGATTTGACTTGATAGCTCATGAATATCACAAGCAATCGCAGAGTACATTAGTATCTGGATACTTTGTTTATATGTATCGAACTGTTATCAACTAATTTCTCTTATTCACGACGAGCTGTGTGTGTTCGAAGGATTGTATGCGTAAGAAGAACCGCATTCCTACTAGTAATATAGATAAATAGGTAGATCGTTGTTAGATTTTTGTCTACAAAAATAACTGCAGATATAAGATTGAAAATCACTTTTCACGTTACTTTATATATCGCATACCGATACTAATAGAGTATGCATACACACGGTAGAAGGTACATACTCGACTAGAATTACAGTCCACCTCTTATCGTCGTATTTACATTTAAAGAGGTCTAGTAAAATGCGTTTAATCGCATAAAATGTACAGTACGCTGCCTACGGTAAGATTCTTGAACTTCAATCGCGCACACGTATGTGTTTTCTATGTTGTTTCATTTATTTTTCGAATTTATAAAATCACGATATTATTTTTTAGATATTCTTTGCGCGTGCAACATAATTTTCGTAAATCTTCTCGAATGGACATTCTTATCGCGACACTAGATGCACAATTGCTTTTGTCTTCGAGTCTTTTTCGGGATATTGTAACACTCAACTAGTTTATATGGTTGCTAGTGTTATATTAACAATCCTTATCACTGAAAGAGCGTAACGCATTTTAACAGATTTTATTATCGATGCAATACAGGTAAATAAAAGTTTGATCAATCGAATATATTACATATAGAAAAATACGATTAAAGATACAAAAACATATTGTTGTAGGAAAATACTGAAATATCTAGAATTATTGTTGGAATTTCTCGAATTTCATAAAATTAAGATCGTAGAAATTCCCAAATACAGGCACACAAAATTCCCGACCAGCGGAATTTTTTTCTAAACAATATGTTGATTTCCAAATCGACATATTCTTAGCAATATTATTCGCATTCGTATAGTTCCATCACTATCGCCATTTCGTTAAAATGACAAATTCTTCAAGCAAATTTTTCATTCGCAAGTTTGAACGTTGAAATAAATTCAAGCAGAAATAACGTTATATTTTAGTGAATTCATAACCGTTACGAAACGTAATAGTGATGGTAATACGTCTTATTATTTTCCCGTATCTTCTGTTAGATATGCACTATCACATTTCTTTCGGGACGTTGAAGACTAGTGTCTGTAAGTAAGTGTAACTATATACCAGCGTCCATTACACCACAGCTGTATGTCTTCCAAAATATTGATTCGCAACAAACAACGGAGTGAAAAAAAACCAAGTATAAGGGCAATGCCTCAACAATATCGAGGGAAAAGAAAAAAAACTCGTAGATCGTATCATCTTATTCTTGATGCGATCGTTGATGCTCTTGTCTTTGACCAATCAATCGTTTAATATATGGCGCGAGGAACGGATAAGAGAGGAAGAACACATGTCCGCAATAATATAAACTAGCATACACTTGATTATACCGCGAAAACGAGAGAAGTACGAATGATACAAGGGCGTATCCCATGAAAACAAAAGTATAGAGCTTTAGAAAGAGCCAAGCAAGTATACGTGCTTCCCATCGTGTTTTCAACAGAGTTTGAACTTTCTCGCTGTTTCGTAAAACTGGTCCAATCTAGAAAGGAGAAAGAAAACAAGAAATGAGAAATGAATAAGCAAACAGTAATTAAACTTTAAAAAGCCATTGAAGATTTTTGTAAAATCACAATTATATACTTACGTCTCGTTCGAAGTACATCACAGCAAACTCCATGAAGAAACAGTGATAATATCCAGAGTGAAAACCATGCCAGAGGGCAAGAAACACCAGCGTCATTATTTGACTGTACATTTTTGAGCCCAGAAACTTGAGCCTTTTATAAATGTACTCCGCACACCAGTTGTTAGTATTTATGTTGAACGAGAGAATATAATGATTGAATTGCGTGCTAGTTTCAAATGTCTGCAATTTAACGTTCGCGCAACCATCCCATTTAATACGACCCTCGGAATCTCTCCCATTGTAGGTGAGACCAAAGGTAATGCACACCTAAAATCCACAACGGATTATAATAAAACAATAACAAACAAGCATATACAAATATATTACAAATAATGATAACGTTAAGAACACATACCCCTTCTGTGATTAGCCAGACACTGATATATTTGTAAAGATTGATGCGACCCCACAGGCCGATTATCAAGCATTTCTTTATTAAATTGAGTTTCTGAAATGAAGGCTCAAAGAGATACTGATCGGAAACGTAAAGTGTGCCGATTTGAAATATCACCACATATATGAATCCGATGAAAGCTCGTAATAATCCCACTGATACACAATCTGGCAGCTTGATAGCACCAGTTTGCGGATCCTAAAATATAAAACATGCTACTTGTATTAAATGAATATATTTATTTCTCAAGCTAAAGAAGAGTTTTCTCTATTGATGAAATAAGCGTCTTTTTTCAATTCATTAACGTACACGATCTGTGAGCTGACCATTAACATAGTCCAAATATCGTCGCATGCTGAACTGTGGCCCAATCAGGAAGGCGCCTGGAAAATAAGCGTACGCCGCAATTTGCAATAGCGACGGTCGTTCTTTCAAGATCACCTGTTTTTGAGTGTTGGAGAGTTCCTCCTACAATACAATCCGTGATTGTTACGCCGCGAACTGAACATGGTAATAGAATTATGAAAAAAATAGCGTTTCGTACGTCACGTTTCTGACCGTCCCATAAATTAAATGCAAGTCCTATTAACCTAAGGGTCAGCACGCATTGCGGCATTGTCCATTTTATGTCGTAATCTTGAGTACTGGTGGTGTAATAGCCTGTATTGGAAAACAATTTTGTTTAAATGCTTTATGACTCAAAAAAATCGACGGTGAGAAACGAGAAAAAAGAATGATATTAACAACAAATGAAAGCGAACGATTGCAAAAGTAAAGTAGCATTTCGATAACAAGTGTCATGTGTGCAATACTTTTTTTTTTAAATATTTTGTCATTTCGTATTATACATCGTTCGCAACTTTTCGAAACGGCCAAAGTAATGCCAAATACGAAACGCTCTGATGATAAGACCTACGCAATATAAGTAAATTATCGTTATTACATATTGATAATATCTTTCTGCGTCATTCTAGTTCCAGTTATAAAGTAGATGAATCTACACGGAAAGAACACTTTTGCTGGCAAATCTAAAAATTTGACCAGATACAGATCTGAAAATAATTTTGTTGGCTCATCAAAATTATTTTGTAGAACACTTAAATATGATGATTAATACTGCAAAAATGAAAATTTGATCTTCTAACAATCAATTTGAACATTGTATATAATAATTTTGAAGGCCCAACAAAATTATTTTCAGACCTGTATCTAGCTAAATTTTTAGATTTGCCAGCAAAAGTGTTCTTTCCGTGTAAACTATACTAAAAATATTTTTGTTGAAAACTTTGGAAACATGTTAACTTGAACACACTTTAATTTAAAATCAGCTATTAACCATGTTATAGGTTACCCAGCTATTAAACATGTAAATATATACGCGAACCGATTTCTAACTAGGAATATCTAAATTTCCAAATGTGGCGTGACTTTACCGTAAAGTAGATACGTCATGTTGAAGAAGAACGTTATTATGACGGATAGCCCAGTGCTGCCGAGAACTGTCAGAACCAAATATGTTACGCATACTGCCGTCGATGAATGAAGTATCTTATAATCTGCAAGATCATTATTATCGTCGAAATCATGTTTATGAATAAACGAACGCCGACATATCATTTGCGTGTCATTCTCCGCGGATTGAAATATCGCTCGAATAAATTACCGTAATTCCAGTATCCTATTGAGAGACCGCACGCTATGAAAAATAAGTGCTGACGAGTCGGATCTTTCCCGTAGAGCGTATACCTATGAAGAAGAGCAACGGGGAATCCTGAAATCAAATTGGATAGCCACAATTTCTTATTGTTTTCTCTTCATCCATTGTAGCTAAACATTAATTGTTTGGCTCTATTCTTTTCTGTGTTCTCTCGTTTGTGGATATTAATCTTGACAGAAATAAATAAACAATAAATTTCTAACAGGTTTTGAAAATTTCATATAAATATATGGAAGGTTTTATTATTAAGATAAGAAATAGTTTAAGAAGCAACGATTAATATTGATATAAAAAGCATTATATTTTTAAAAGAATTTTAAGTTATTAATCGCATAAATAAAATAAAAAAATAATATATGATTAAAAGTGGAATGTTTATAAGCTATTTTTTTTTAAATTATGTCTATATTGTTTTTATGATATTACAATAAAACTAATGATACTGTAAAACATTTTTTTTAATAATATTGCTAAATTTATTCATATCTCGATTTCGCTTTCCCTTTTTAGAAATCTATGATCGCTACCTGCGCTTCCATAAAAAGAACAATTTTTTTTGTATTATATAATTTAATATAAAATGATGTTTTGCAAATTTATGTACATCAGTCTATCTTAGATGTCATTTCATATTTTATATATAGAACTTTTCTTAAGTATTATTTATTATTTTAAAAATTAATTTTTAAAATCACTTTATGAAAAAGAAAGTTTTTTCCTTTTAGAGTTACAAGATATTAAATATTTTATAAAAGTATTTTTTCTTACTAGCTCTTAAACGAAAATAGGTAGATTTTCTTTTTCTGACTCAGGTCACTGGATAGGCAGGATATTACTTTTATTTCTTATATATAGTCGCCATTTATAGAATGCCAATGCCGTAGAAAGGCAGAAACGAGGTTTAGATAGTATACTACTGCCTCGAACTTGTACATCAATGGAATCAAGTTTTTTGTAGACTTTTATTATTTCTGAATGATTTAAAAATTTCAATTTCTAAATTCTAAATTTCGATTTCAAAAGTCATAAGTTTAGAAGTTAATAACATATTTCTAAAACAAGGCTTTTAAAACTATATATTTATATAAATCATTTATATAATCATTTTTCAACATTTTTAAAATGATTTCAAAACTTAATTTCTAAAATATTAAAACTTTGTTTACATATCAATGTATAAATACATATATAAATATATATTATATTGTAATATTCAAACATATACAAAATATATGATATTCTATCATGTATATTATTATCACAATGTAACAACATAGTTAAACAACGTATTATTTTATCTTTGTGTGTATATTCATTAACACACTGAATATTTCATTTTCTAACTATATATGACTGATATTAATTATATATTGTAACTATTCATGAGTTCCTTGACATAGTAAAATTCTCTAAATTTTTATCAAATAAAACATCGAGCGAACAGAGAAAGATGAATTGTTTCGAAGAATATTATACAATCTTTTTCATCATACATTTTCTATTTTAATAGGAAGGACCTGCGCACAAGATTGTCGTAATTATTTTCGATAGAGTCGTAAACCTAAATTATAATTGTAGGTCAATGCATAATAATTACTGTAAACGTATGATGTATTTTTATAATTATAAAAATCTAAACCTTAATCTATAATAGTAAGCCTTATGCTTTAAGTTAATAACAAGTAATTTTCGGTAAAAAGCGTTTCTTGAATTGTTTTAAATCGTAATCTTTGAGCTTTAAGAAATTGGCCAGATCCCAATTATAAAATTTAGAGCTTAAGACAGCATAGAGAAAACGTTTCTCGCCAGAAATTGTTTAGCTTAGGGCATAAGGCTTACTCATTGTACACCGAAAGCATACATTGATACGTCATACATACGTTTACAATGATCATTGTGCGTGACTTACAATCTTGTTGAAAATAATTACAACAATCTTTGTACTCAGGTCCTAATTTGTTCAATGCATGCATTTTTAATTATTTCGATTAAACTTCACTGAAAGAGAAAAGAAAATGAATTTTATTAACATTAGGCAAATTTTATTTCTTTTCCCGGTAGTTTTTCAATGAAGTGTTATAGCTGTAAGGTACTTATATAACATGATACGATCATAAATAAACATCGAATACGTATAGCGCACGCAGGCGCGTTTTTTATTCCCATCTGCTTTTTGACGTTGACTAAACACTACACTTAGTATATCATAATTATGCATCATGAAGCAAGAAAAGAGCGACAGAAATTATATAATAGACAGCAACATCTAAGTATAAAATTTATTTAAATTCTCTCTGCGCGCGCAGAAAAAGATTTAGGAAAAGCGATTTTTTTCGTTTAATAATGTGAGAGAAAAACAAAGACAAAAGAATCAGGATCCGAATTCATTATCGAAATGAGACAGTCCGCGAACAGGAAGCTGATCGTAAACGCGTGTTTTAACGATTAGACGAGTAACCTTCGCAAACAGAGGCAATACGCCGTTATAGAATACTATTAAATATGTACACGACATAACGCAGCAAAGAGCGAGGGATGCCCCGAGGGGATCTACGTGACGAGGGGATGCGGGAAGAAGAGGGAGGGTGGTCGCACGCCGGTGATCGAGCGGAGTCATGAATGAAGTCGGAGATTGATTTCTCCGAGTGAAGAATCTCGGCGGCGGGAAGGAGAACGAGAACGAAAAAGAAAAAGAGAGAGAAAGAAAGAAAAGGACGAGATCCTGATGACCCGGACAGAGAGAGAAAGAAAAAGAGAGAAAAATCGTCGAGCGAAAAAATGGTTAGGTTTACCTAGTAAAATCGAGATGAGGAGACGCACCGCGGCCTCCGGGGCGCCGAGCAACATCGACAACCTCGCCAGTCCGCTTGGGCTGTATGCCACGTTGTCCATGATCGATGATGACGACGACGACGACGACGACGACGACGACGACACAACAATGGTGACGGCGACGACGATGATGATTGATGACGGTGAATGAAGACGAGAAAAACGGTGACAACAAAACGTGCCACGCGCAGCAACGACGTCGAGTATCACAGCATGGCCGCGTCGTAACGCGCGCGTGTCTCTGTGTATCTTGCACCTTTTATCAGCAGCAGTAAATCATCAACTGCCACTGTCACACGCTTGGCCGTCAACCGTCACTATCGAGCTCGTGCGGCCTGCACGGAGCGTCCGCGATTAACCTTCGCCACCGACCGTCGCCACCACCGTTGTCGCAGCGCCGGCGACGGTGGTGGCGGTGGCGGTGGTGATTGGTGTGCTCGATGGCGGGGTGAGTAACGCGGCGTCGTTACCGGGACGACAGACGACGCGACCGTCCGAGAGGGCATCTCGCGTCGTGTCGTCCGCGACGTAAATCATACTTGGATTAGAAAATTAGAACAGGACGTGAACTAGAGCCATCTTGTGTGTTCGTTGAAAATAATAATTGCTTTTCGGTTCCTGCCGCGCTAAAACTCTATCTCATTTTTATCAAATTTCAAGTATCATTTATCTATTTCATTTTAAGTAAAACAAGTGAACGTTAGTTCAGCTGTAAAAATATAGACTGAATACTTTCCTTGGTGGATGACGACGATAGCTCTTGAACGAAAATTCGATTCTAATTCTCTTTGCATTGACATATCTTCTTCGTAGAACATTAATTTAAGAATATCTATTTTTACTAACGTAGATTAACTTTAATCTCGATTTAACTTACTTTTTATTTCTACGAATTAAAAAAAGATAAAAAGTAAATTAAATCAAGATTAAAATTAATTTACATTAATAGGGAAATAAACTGGACATAAATCGATTTCAAACTTGATTGGTCTCCGAGTTAGCGAGATATGATACTTAATTAAAATATTCTTGATTCTCATGTGATTCATGAAGTATATTTACACAGATGTCATTTAGCAATCATATAAATGTAGTAATTATAACAACCATAATTTTAATTGCTAATGTAAAATGTGTAAACAGTTATCGACTTCAGTTTTATTACACCAGTAGTAATATCAGCATAAATTGCTGTTTATACATTTCATGTTAGTAGTTACGGCTTATATATACTATTGGAAAATTTATATATTTTTGTGAAAAAATTTGTTGGTTAAAATTTTTGTATTAAATAATCTATATATTTATATGTTAAATTTATGTCTATTACAATAATCAATCTTAACAAATAAATTATTAAAATATATAATTATAAATTATTAAAATAATTTAAAAAATTAAATTAAAGTAACACAATTTGTCTTTATTAAACATGTAAAAATTTACAAAAAAAAATGTTGATTATTCTAGCATGATCGGAGAGACGATTGCGCATTATTTATGTTATCTTTTATCATAAAAATTATGTTAATTGTATACAAGTGTAATAATACTGTGTAGTAACTAATAGTGTAATAACTAATTAATATCAAAATTACATTTCTCTTTTATTTAAATATTAACATCAGTATTACTATTAATACATACATGTTAAATTAACACCAAAATTTGAGTGAACCGTTTGGAACGTGTAATTTACATTAAACTTAACACAAATTTTTCAACAGTGTATTAAACTGGATTGCCGTATAACATTACCGTAATACGGACTTCGCCCGTTTACTGGCGCGATCGTGTCCCCCGATTAGATCTCGATCACTCGAGAGCTACGTGAATCCAAACGTGGGTTTCGAAACGCGAGCAGCCAAATGAGACGTGATCCTCGGCGAATGATTAAGTGGGTCGGCCGGGACCAATCGAGGTTGACAACGGGCCAAGTGGGCCGACACGGGCCGGCACTTTTGTGCGGACGCCACGCCAGGAGTTTCGGATGGCCGGCGATTCTCATCTCCGAGAAAAATCGATCGATCGAGCGTGGGCTACGGGGGAGGGCGTGCGATTTACGCGCGCGCGTGTGCGGCGCCAAGGCCAGCGGCGATTCTTATTTATTATCGCTGCTTTGTACACGTCAATCGCAGTCGCGGACGTACGATGGGGAAAAATTCAACTTGTACGCGATTCGACGATTCCGCGAGCCCTTGATCGAGAGTCCCGATTTAGAAACCGTACGGACCGAGTCGATACCCGGGTACAGGGTGATTGCGCTTTCTCTGGAAATCGCAGGCGCGCGTGAAATGCGCACGAGTGCTTCTCTCTAATCACTTTCGCTCACTCTTATTCTCGTTGTCGAGTGAAATCCTATGATAAATAGTCGCGATGGGAGAGAGAGAGAGAGAGAGAGAGAGAGAGAGAGAGAGAGAGAGAGAGAGAGAGAGAGTAGAGAGAGAGAGAGTAGTAGTAGTAGTACGTAGTAGTACGTAGTACGT